ATCGTGGAGAGGAACAAGTGCTTATTATCTACCGCGGGCGGTTCGCAGGGCCCGGCTGAAGCTCTGTCATCTCGGCGCCTTCTTTCAGGTCCTGAAGCTCCCGGGCGCTGAAGCCGAGGGGCGTCCGCCGGCGCTACGGTTAGGCCTTCGGGCAGCGCGGGCGGGCGGGGTGCGAGCGGCGGGGCTGGGCGGCGGCGGGGCTGCTGGGCTCGGCGGGAACTGCTGTCGGTGACCGCCACGCCCTGACAGGTGCAGGCAGTGGACGGCAGCTTGCCGGTCCCCCCAGCGGACTGGCACGGCGAGCTAACGGCCGGTGTTTGGAGAACACGTGTCCGTGGCATGCCCTGTAAAGGCTAATATTAAACCTGAGATCTGCACCTCACAGACACAGCACCCGGGCAGAAAGAAGCACACGCCCCGGCATTCCCGCCTCGGATCCCCGGGGGCCGGAGGGGGGCCGGGAGCTGGGTTTTGGGGGGTGGCGCAGTGCTCTCGGCAGAAGCCATTTCCACAGGGAGGTGTTTCTGGAAAGTCCTGGTGATTGGAGCTGGGCCTGCGTGTGGGTGCCCCATGGGACGAGGGTGGGCAGGTCGAGGCCGTGGATCCCCAGGGGTGGGAGCAGGGTGTGGGGGAGGGCAGGCAGGGGAACGTCTGACGGCCCCTGCGAACTTCAGCCATCCATCGGCAGACGTTCTTAAGGGAAGGGATGCTAACGAGGAGAGACACTGCCTTTGACAGTGATCCCCCGAGATCCCCGAGGTGGGCACACCGCCTGGGCCACGCGTGGCGCTTCCTGGTCGCGTGATCTCAGTAGGAACGTCTCCGGGCCCACGGGCTGCCGTTCCCCCCCCCCCCCCCCCGGGCCTCCGGCGCCGTCTCCGTGTCCGGCCGGGAGCTCTTCGCACCGCGTTCTCCGTGTGTCCTCACTCGGAGCAAAATGCAGTGGTCTCTGCCCGGCCAGTAAGCACTTGGGAAGATTTAAAAAGCGTCTCTGTGTCCGAGTGAGAATGTTCTTGTTCGTGTACTTGGGGTTCCTCGTGGGCGTTGAGTGTGGGGCCGCGGCTCGGCCTGCTCACTGGCCTCCTGCCCCCGCCGTTCGAAGGCCAGGGAGCCCCAGCCTCCAGAGGCGGGTCTGCTCAGAGCCCCCCCGGCTCCCCAGGCCGCTCTGAGGGCCCTCAGACCCCCCACAGGACGCTGGGCTGTGGGAGGGGAGTTACTCGCTGGCATTTTGTGTGGAGAAGGGGACTAAGGAATGGGGTGTGTGTGTGAACTCCCTAACTGCCAACTACTAGGAGAACCTTGGTTTGTGGTGTGAAGGCACCTTGATCTTAGAGAGCACGGACCTGGCAAATTACCCCGACCAGGGGTTTTCCGCCCTTGGCATCGGGCTCCTGTCCGGGCACAGCGGGCAGCCTGGCCCGCCGGGGCTGCTCCTGCAGCTGCTGCGTGCGCAGTGCTTGTGCGGGGCAGGCTGTCTGGCCCCTCGGTGGTGGCTCACCCGTGACACTCACAGGCCAAGCACGGACCCAGCGCCCACGAGCGCTGGCCGGACCCCGTGCCCGCTCCGTCCTCCCCGGGCCGCCCCCCGGGGGGGCTCGGAGGCTCCGCGCTGACAGATCCCGCCGTGGGCTCAGGAGTGACGTGAAGCACAGACCGCCGTGGGCCCGGAGGACGCTGCCGGCCTGTGCAGACGCAGTGGGAACGTTGTCGGCGAGCAGACAGCCGGGAGGCGTCTTCAGATTCCTCCCGGGAGCATCCCAGCGGGCCACCAGGAACGCAGGGCTCCTTGGCGATCGGGTTCGCAGAGAGTTTTGAGAAATGGCTGGCGTTCTGCACGAACTGTGAAGGGCGTGAACCAGGCAGGCGGGGGCGGGGAGTGGGGGTGGGCGGAGGCTGATCACTGACCGCCCGAGCCCCAGCAGTTCCCAGGCCTGCAGGCCTTTGCGCTGAGATGGTCGGACGGCCGCCAGGAAGCAGGTGCTGCGATGTGCGCTCACTACCTCCGCTCGGCAGCGGAGCAGATAGCGACCGAGGTGCTGGCCGTGGAGTCTTCTCTTCTTTATTTTATTTTGTATTTTCTGCCACATGGTTTGTGACTGTCAGGCGTATTGAGATGAACGCTTGTGTTGCTTGGAGCCTTTGTTGTTGTCGAGACATCAGTGGGGAAGGGGCTGGCGGCCCTGAGCCACGTGGGTGCCCAAGGCGATGGGGGGCCCTGGCCGGAGCCCTCGGGAGGCGGTCAGCGGGGGCTGGGGTCGCGCCTGCAGAGACGCGTGCTTGGAGGGGGGCGTTCCCCAGGTGTGTGCTTGGAGGGGGACTTCGGGGTGGCTCTGAGGGGGCCTCCTTGGCCAGTAAAATTATACTTCTCATCGGAAGGAAGACACAGGGGCTGCACCCCATCCCGTGGCCAGACAGAGTCCCCACAGGCTCCTGGCACAGCCACCCGTCAGCAGGAGTCCACGTCCACGTCCCACAGACTCTGCGTGCAGACCGGCCCCTTCCCCACGCTCAGCGCCGGGCGCGGGGGCAGCTGGGAGGGAAGTCCCACACCTCCTCCTCCGACGCCCGGCTGGCTTTAACACCGTAGCGGGTTCGAGCTTTGTTTGTTTAAACCTCGCAGGTTCCCGGTCCCCTGGCCTCGGCGCCCGGCTGCACGGAGAACAGTTGAATGAGCTCATTGTTTCCTGTTTTTCCTTTAACGTATTTTACAAACACTCGGCTGACAGGCCTGACACGCTGATTCCTATGCAGCCGCGCTTCGGTGTGGGATTACAGCATTAATAACCGAGTTCCACGCGCCCTGCCATCCTTAAGCATGATTGTTACGATAAAGGGCACACTCTTAATTACAGGCCTGCTTAATTACAGCCTGCCGCGGCTCCGTTTGTTTAGGAGAATGCTAATTGTGCTCGGAGCCCGCGGCACTTCCCCGCTTCCATCGGCGTGGCTGGCTGGCTCGGCACGCCGATCGGCGTCATGTTCAAACCTTCACCAAAAACACACGTAAAAAGCAACATCGGGAAGCACTCTGCGGGCGCTCAGAGGAAGCCGGCCCGGCAGGCGCCCTCACCCACAGGCCCTTCCCGCCTGTCTGTCACCTTTCCTTTCTCCCCACAGCAGCCCTGAGAGAGAGCGCTGTGCTGTCCCCATTTTACAGACAGGGTCACCGAGGCTCCGAGAGCTGAGGCAGCCTGCTGGCCGCACACCTGCCACCTGCTCCGTCGGAGTCAAGGCCCCGATCCTCCCGCCACAGCCCCCCAGCAGGCCTCGGGCTCGAAGCCTGGCTCCCTCCAGCTCCATCATTGCTCTGAGCCTCAGTTTCCCTAATAACAACCTGCAAGCCACCGTGTGAGGGTGACCTAGTCTGGGATCAGTGCATTCGGATGCCTCTCTCCCCTCCCCCCCCCCCCCCCGCCCTCAGTGTGGGAATGGCGTGCGCCGGCCTCTGATGTCACACCAGCATCCTGTGTAAGTCCGCAGGGATGACGCCAGGCAGCCAGGGGGATGGCTCCGGGTCAGCACCGATCCGTCAGCCAGCTGCTCGGCATCAGGTCCAGCCAGTTAGGATTCCCCGTCACACGGCCAGCGTGTTTATCCGTCTCATCCACGCGGGTCACACGCGATGGTTTTCACATGCTTCGCAGAATCCACATTCCTTCCTCCCACCGTAATCTGTGACATTTGGATTTTTTTAAATCAGTGCCGTTTGGCAGGCAGATTGTCAGTTTGGCAAACTCTCGCTGGCGCCGGGGGCTCTGCCGTGTGAAGAGCTGCGTCCGGTCCCAGCCACGGGTCCCAGCCAGTCGCCTGCCTTCCTTCCTCCCTCCCTCCCTCCCTCCCTCCCTCCCTTCCTTCTTTCCTTCCGTGTCTTCGTTTCCTAGAAGCCTGTGAAGAGCACGTGACTGAGCCCGTCCTTCGTCCCGAACTCTGAGATGAGGTGGTGCTTCGTCCCAGCGCCCTCCCTCCGCTCCACACGCTGCCCGGGCGCCCACGTGGCCTCGCCTCTGGCTCCGCCTCCGGCCGCCTCGCCCCACAGCTGATCGCCCACATGGGGGTCAGCCCGCTGCCCCAACCCCCGCCGTGCGGGTTCTGCGGTGGGAGGGGCCTCTCCCTGCCGGGGGGGTGGGGTGCACTGTCTCCCCTCCCTTCAGTCTCTCCGGAGCTAAGAGCAGGCCTTGGAAAATGCAACATACGTGGGCACATGTGTGTGCACGTGTGTATAGGTGTGTAATGTGAAACGTGAATATGCAGTAAGACATGACACACTTGACGTCTTTCTCTGAAAGTGGGTATTGTACGGGGGGGGGGGGGGGGCAGAGGTAGGCTTACGTCTGACTGTGGAAGCAGACACGCAGGTTGTGGTGACCACTGCGGCTTTATTACCTCACAAAACCTCTGCAGTGCGACATGCGTAGAGGCACACGGAATGCCGCTGCTGCTAACGTCCACGTTTTCACGTTACCTTTTTCTGCGTCTTTTTCTCCTGTTTTATCCCATCCTTCCGAGCCCCACCAGCCCCCTGGGAGGGCCCTCCCGCCCGTCGCAGCTGGTGGGCAGGAGCTGGCCAACAGTCCAGGGGCCACCACGGCCACAGTGCACCTGTGTTTCTAGATCTTTCTCCTGAAACACGTGACTGTCGGTTGGAAGGAGGGATAAAACCCGAAACCGGGCCTGAGGGCCTCAGGCTGGATGTGGCCCTCAGCTGAGAGCATGTCTGACGCGCCTGCCGCGGCCCCTGCAGGCTCAGCTCTGCCTCTGCCTCCGCCCCGTCCTGCTGCACCCCTCCCGGCTCTGCCTCTCAGGCCCCTGGGCTCTCACGGCTCCTGTCCACCCCGCCCGCCCTTCGGGGGACGCGGTGTCTGCTCCGCACCAGCCGAGCCCCAGGAGGCCCTGCGTGCGGGTTGGCTCCAGCAGGGCCTGGCTGTGCTGTCTCTGCCGACGTCCTGGTTACTTAACCTGGTGGTGTCTACAACACCCTTCTCTCTCCTCTTCTCTTGCAGCAATGGACGGTGTGCCCTTTATGATTTCAGAGAAGTTTTCCTGTGTTCCGGAAAGTGTAAGTGTCACGCACGACTCCTTCCCTTCCCTCTCCTCCCTTCCCTCCCCTCCCTTCCCCTTCTCTCCCCTCCCCTCCCCTCCCCTCCCCTCCCTTCCTCTCCCCTTCCCTTCCTCCTCCCAGTCTGAGCACCCTCTGCAGGCTCTCCTGGCGGCCCTCGCACCCTGCCCATTGGGGTCATTTCTGCTGGCACATCTATCCCCCTTGCCCTGGCCCCCCCACTCCCCTCGGTTGGAAGCTCAGCCCTGCAGCCAGCGACAGGCTGCCTGAGGCGGGGAGAGCCAGGCCCCTCAGCCTGGGGGCCGGTGCTGCCCTGTGTAGGTCCTTGAGAATGAGTGAAAGGGGGTGGGGGAGCGGGGAGGAGGGGGGCAGAGTGACTAGAAAACTCAGATGCAGCCAAGCCTCGTTGCTTCGGATGTGATGGTTAATTGGACTGAACTTCGATTGGCGTCCGAGTTCAGCTTAATTTGGAGTTTTTATTGAAGGATGATGACGTCCCACCGAAAAGGGAGGCTGCCTCGTTCTCCCATTGTGATCGCTACTCCGTGACCCTGTGTCCTCTGCTCTCTCCGGGGGGTTCCATTTACTGCCAGCCTCACCACCAGCCTCCCCACGGGCCTCCCCACGGGCCCCCCACCGGCCTCCCACTGTCCGGGAGCCAACCAAGCCCCGCGCCCGCCCACTGCCTTTAGGCCTGAAGGCACCGCTCAGACCCGAGAGGCCGCGCCCACCACCCGCCCGGCCTGGCCCTCAGGCTCCCCTGGCTGCCTGCCCCGGGGCGGCAGTGGCCCTCCCCCGCCCTGCAGGCCGGGCCCACGCGGGCCCCTAGCCCGGCCCCAGGGTTTTGTCCTCCCAGTGACCTTTTCTCTAAGAGCTAGTAACCGGGAGGACCTGGGTGGCACCGGCTGGAGAACTGTCCTGGTGTTCTTGGCGGCTGAGTCTCCATCTCCATGCAATACCATCGGCTCCTCCGAGCAGCCTCATCCCGAAAACGCTCCTGACTGACACGGGAGCATGAGTCACTCCGCCACTCCGGCCGCGCTGCCATGGCGACGCTGGCGCCTCTCCCGCTGGCGCCTCTCCCGCCTGCTCCTGGGAGAGGCCCTCTGTCCTGCGCTCCCGCTCCGGCCGGGAAGCCCAGTGGGCAGCGAGAGCTAATGACACAGCAGCTGGGCCTCCGCCGGAGCCCGCGGCCTGGCAGCAGCGATAGCCAGACTGCCTCCCGGCTGCTGGCAGCGGCCGGAGCCCAGGCCTGGCTGGCGGCCCTGCCCCGCGACCGCCCTCGCTAATGGCTGCCCGGCGCTGCCGACTCAGCGAGTGCCACGGCGCGGAGCAGGCCGAGCCGTGCCAGGAGCTCCCCGTGCCCCCTCGCCCAGGCCTCCCGCAGCCCGGCGGCCCCGCGGCTCTCTCTCCGGCGAGGAGGGGGTGGTGGAACCGAGGCCGGTGTGAATCCGGGCCCTTCCCACCTCGTCTCACAGGAGGCCTGGTCGGCTCCGCTCTGCCCCTCGGCTGCCGCTCGGAACCAGGATCCCCGGGCAGGAGGAGGCCCAGCGCCGGAGGGGCCAGAGGCTCAGCCCGCTCTGGGCCTCCGCTGGCTCTCAGCGTGTTTGCCTTTCCATGCCGCCTGTTGAGAAGCATCTTTTATTAAAAGGTCCCCCATGTTCATGAAATTGCAGAAACACCCACCAAAACGCGGTATTATTTTCCACCACCTTTCATTTCACCAGTGATCGCTGATAGGCAGTGATTTCACGCTCCTGGCCTTTCCAGAGGCCTGGCGCTCCCCAGCTCCTGCCTGGCCCCGAGTCCCGGGGAGCTCACCGCCTGCCCCCGGGGCCCCGGGGGAAAGCACACCGTTTCCTACGGGAAGAGGCGGGAGGGGTCCCTGGTGACGGGCCCGGCTTCGGACAGCCTGACCCTCGGGCGCTGAAGGCGGGTGACTGAGCAGTGGTCCCTCCCCGGGGCACCGCCCCTGCCAGCCAGGCTTCCGGAAGAGCCCGCACTGGTCCCTGCAGGGCCACCCTGACGGGGACGGGTTCCGGGGAGACGGGGAGGGGACCCCGGATCACACGGGGGTGAGGGTGCGAGCTGTGCCTGCCCTAAAGGGCCCGTGGCCTGTGCTTTCAGATGCAGCCCTTCGACCTGCTGGGGATCACCATCAAGTCTCTGGCGGAGATCGAGAAAGAGGTAGGGGGCGGGGGGGCCTGGGCCGGCTCTGCACCCCTGGGTCTCTCCCTGGTTAGGGATGAGGGAGGAACGGGGTGTGGGGTGCCCTTTGCAGAAACCACTCTCACGTCACTCACATTCATCGCTTGGAAAAAGCAGCCCTTTGAATGTGTGATGACTTCCTCAGCTATGCCAGCGGCTCCTGCCCCCTCGGCCAGAGGCGTGCGAGCGGAGGGACCGTCAGCTGCTCCGTGTCTCAGCCTAAGCGGGGGCTGGGGAGGGCTGTGCTGCCGAGCCACCGGGAGGGCGGGAGACGGTCCCAGCCTCTCAGAGGCCGGTCCAAAAAGGGGAAGAAGTCCAAGCTGGGATACATGGGCCAGCTCTGACGGAAGAGCCAAGAGATGATGCAGGCGGGCTGGGGTCTGGCGTGCGGCCTGTCCCGGGAACAGCACGTGTGTGTGTGTGTGTGCGCGTGTGTGTGTGAGAGCGTGTGTGTGTGTGTGTGTGTGTGTGAGAGCGTGTGTGTGTGTGTGTGTGTGTGTGTGTGTGAGAGAGAGAGTGTGTGTGTGTGAGAGAGTGTGTGTGTGTGTGTGTGTGAGAGAGAGAGAGAGCGTGTGTGTGGGTGTGTGAGAGCGTGTGTGTGTGTGTGTGTGTGTGTGTGTGTGTGTGAGAGAGACAGCATGTGTGTGTGTGTGTGTGTGTGTGTGTGTGTGTGTGTGTGTGTGTGTAGTGGGTTGCCAGCCTGACTGCCACCTACAGACTGGGGGGTGGGGGGCGGGAAGCTTCGGGGAAAGGGGGGCTGGCTGCCACGCTGGGGGTGCACACAGGATCCCCGTCAGCCCTCTCCCAGCGCCGGCTCAGCCTGCCTGGCGTGGGCCCTCGGTGGCGCCCGGTGTGTGGGGGGGAGGCTGCCTTTGGGTCAGGGGCTCAGATGCAGAGACTCCCCTGTGCTTCGTGCTTGTCGGGCTCCTCCCTGGTCTCCCTGCTCCCTGCTCCCAGGGTGAGGAGGGAGAGGCCGGCCCACACCTAACCCGGAGGGGCCGTGGAAGTTTCTGAACGCAAGCCCGCCCCTGCCACTGCCGTGTGGCCTGGGACAGGCCGCTCCGTGCCTGACCCCATCAGCCTGTCAGCCTGGAGCCTGGGGGTGCGAGAGCTGCCGGTGCTCCCACCCGCAGGGAGCCCCGCCTGCCGCTGACACCCTGGACAGAGACGGGACGTCACCCGGTCCTGGGTGGGCCCCACGGAACCAGCGAGCTCAGAGGCAGCGTGGGCGAGGACTCCCCGTGGGCGCCTGGGTGTCTGTGGGCCGCGGGGGCCGTGCAGGCAGCGGGCAGGGCGAGGACGGCGGGCCACCTCTGCCCCCGGGTGTGACTGGGGGACGTCTCCCGATGACCCGCCCGCCCGCAGGTCCGAGCCCTGGCCGGCGGGCAGGACCGATGGCGTGTCCGATGAAAGCACCCGGGGAGGGCATGCGCACGCTATGGAGCAGATCTCAAAGGAAAGGGTCACTGGAAAGGCAAAACGTCTCAACCCGGAGCCACGCTCAGGCCACGCGGGTCTGAACGAAGCCGCGGCTAATAAAAACGTTAAATCTGACCGCCCCTCGCCGGCCCCGCTTCCCGCGGCCACGGCCCGCCGCCCGCATCCGCCCACGGCGCAGAGCGGGCCTGTGCCGAGCAGACGGGTCCCGGCTTGAGAGGGAGATTTGTTCCTCTCCCCTCACCCCGGAGGGGCCAGTGGCAGGAGTGGCAGCACCTGAGGCCTCTGGCCCCGCAGGCCTCCCCGGGGCCGGGCAGCAGCCGGGCCATGTCCCCCTCGGGCCTCATTGTCCTCCTGCCCAGACCAAGGCGCTCTCCTCGGAGGCCTGTGATGGAGCCTCTTCCCTCCCGAGAGCCGGGCTCATACATGCCCGTCTCCGCCCCTTCACATGCCGGGAAGCAGTCGCCCTGCTCCATCCGCTGGATCCCCATCCCGGCAGCGAGTCCCCGCGGCCGTTACTGGCCGGGGCCTGTGCGCCCTCCGCCCCGGCCCCTCCGCCTCCCCCCCCCCCCCCCGCCCCTGCTCTCGGGCCCAGGAGAGGGCCCTGGCGGTGCAGGGTTTCGTGCTCGTGCAGGACGACCGGTGAGTCCCGTGCCGGACGGGCCTGGGGTGCCGGCCAGCTGCACGCACAGCCTCTCCCGCCGCTGCTGCCCCCCACGGGAACCACGTGCTCCCCTCCCTTCGGGGCGCCAGCGAGGGGGGCTGGTCGCCACCAGCTTCCCGGTGGAGCCTGCAGCCTCCACGTTCCCGGCTCCGAGGCCAAAGACAGGGAGCGTCTAATTAGCAGAGTCTAATATTAATCACTCCCTTAAAAGTGACAAGGGAGGCGGCACGTTTAACCACTTAATGGCTACAGGTTTTCACGGGCTGCCGTGTGCGGGCGTGTTTAATGAAGAAGTTACAGATCCGAGGGAGCTTAGGATTTTAATTTTATCCCTAAATATTTTCCCCGTCCTCGTGTTTGCAGTCAACCCTCCAGAGCGCAGTCACGTGGACGTCCTTTAAATGAACATATTTGCTAACTGGCATGATTTCAGTTTTTAAAACATTGGTTCCAGCAATTAGGCTTTTTTTTTTTTTTCCAGTTCCCAAATGAGTAGAGAAATTCGTCTTGATTATAATTGCTCTTAGCCACGCATATCTAATTTGTGTCTTTTTAAGCGTTAATTAGTAAACAGTCTGCGTTGACATCTTTATGTTTGTGTGTTGAAAAATGGGGCTTATTGCTTCTGTAGCTCAGGGCCTGCTCCACAAGCACCTACGTCACGACATGAGGGGGTGGGGTGGGGAGGAGGAGGGGGAAGCTAATGGGACGCATGTGGCAGCTCGAGGGGACAAGGGGTTTTTGAATTCAACTTCCGGGCGTGCAGTTCCCATCGGCTTCTGCTGGCCCCTTCCCGCGGCCAAGCTTCCGTGTGGCTCTGGATCCTGCACGCGCGGGCGGAAAGGGAAACGGGAGGTTTTTGCATCCGTAATGAAATGGCAGAGCCCCAATTCTATAAACGCAGAATGTTCATATCCCAGCACAGTTGTTCCTTCTCTGGACTCTGGAAAGCTTTCATTGTGCTCATTAACGGGGAAGACGTCTGTGCAGGGAGAGGTCGCAAAACGCGTGGTCCCTTTCCGCCATCTAGTGGTCGCGTTTTAAACTGCAACAGGAAATAAGCCGCCTCCTCTCCACTTGTGAGATTGAACCTTTCCACCATCCAGACTTCTCTTTATTTATATTTCAGTAAGGAAGCTGATATATTTCGGGGGGTGGGGGGAGGGCTACTTTATTAAAGTTAGGTAGGAGTTAACTTTTCCCCGCCCCCTTTTCTTTGTATTGCTCAAGGACAGAGCCACCACCAGGCTCTGCAGGTGATGGCAGCGTGCAGGTGATCCCGGCCCAAAACAAAGAGACCTGAGGTCGTTCAGTGGGTGGCCCTTTGAAGGTCCAGGAGAAGTGCTGTCCTCACTTTGAAACGTGGGAAGCAGCTTGGGGACCCCCTCAGGACTCTGACTACCATTTAGGGACCATTTTAGGCCAAAGACACGCCTAGTTCTCCCCCCATAAATCCTGGCAGGTGTCCTGGGCAGTTTATCATCCTAAGCCGCCCCCCTGCCAATCAAAATCGACTTTTAACATCTAGTGCTTTCCCCGAGTTCAAAGGCTTCACATGTTTCTAAAAATGCAAACATTTCAGACACACAAACTTTCCCCACACTCCACTCCTGAGAGACACACACACACACACACACACACACACACACACGGGCTCACAGTTTACACAGTACCCTGTCCCTGGTTGCACACGTCCCGTGCACCTGGCGCGTCCTGCCCTGTCAGAGCCCACAGATCTGCCCCTCCTCTCTGTGGCTGCATGTTTCCTGTATGATGATTTACGCAATCCACCGCTGACTGGCTTGTGAGCTGCTCCCGTTCCTTGCTGTCGCGCTGCTGTGGCGTATCTCCTGGTGCACGTGCCCTCACCGGGCCTCCGTTAGGGTTTATGTTACCATCTTCCGTCCCGGAGAGAGGCGTGTGCCTTCCTGGCCTCCTTCAGCACGTGAGGTGCCTGCCTCCCCCGTACTTAACCGTGAACACCTTTTCACGTTGACTGCTCATCTGTATCTCTTTTATGAGTGTCTTCTGTTTGGACCCTTTGCCTAATTTCCTCTGTTGCCTTCTTTAGCTTTTCTCATTCATTTTTAAAGAGTTCTCTATGCTCTTTATAACAACCTTCTCTCTGTTCTGTGTACACACACACACACACACACACACACACACACACCAGCAGCCTTTCACCTTGTTAACATATTCTACTAAATTTTTTCATGGGCAGACTAATTTTTGGCTTTAGATCATATTAGATGATTATAAAAATACTCCTATTTTCTCCTACTTTTTGTACTTTAATATATTAAAACATTAGATGCTTCTCACCTCCTCAGTCCACCTGAAATGTATTGGACGATGCGGACGAGAACTATATTTAGTTTATCTTAAAGTGTCAGCCAGTTTTCTTAGCGGGGGTTATTTTCTTCAGTAAGTTTTAAATACCATCTCACCGTACACAGCCACGCACCGCGTGTACGACGGTGGCCCGTAGGCGGTGCCGGAGCGGGAAACGCCTGTCGCGTGACCACATCACAGCCGTCCTAACCTCAGACACACACGTTACCACCCGTCCGGGCGGTGCCGTCGGTGGGGTGTGCCACCTGCTCGCCAGTCGCACACCAGCGTGGCAGGTACGATAGGCAGAGTGCGTGAGACTTGGTAATGACGACTGACTGTTCCTGGTTTGTGCATTTGCCTACTCTGCTATTTTAGAGCGTGCGCTCTCTACGTACGAAGGTGTTGGCTGTAGAACAGACCCTGTTCTGGGGCAGAAGCCGCACCCTCGTGTTTCCCGCACCACCAGGCTGTGCCTTCTCTCTCCTGCAGCGTCAGTCCCTGCGGTTTGGCGAGGGCGGGCGGCGTGGGCGGGGGGTGCCGGCCGTGCCTGCCAGGTTTGTCTCTGCCCCGTGCTGTCCCCACACAGTCCCCTCAGGATGTGTTTCCCAGAGGCTCCCTTCACCATCACGTGGCACGTGACCGACTGGTTCCACGAGAGAATCAGTGAAAGGATCTTCTCCTGACTCTCCTTTTGTCATCACACTGTGATAAGTCTTAATGATAGGGCTAGCTCTTTCCCCCCAACTTTCCTAACTATAGTCACACGACCGTTCTCCCAGCGAACCCGAGTCCCGCAGCTCCGTTCGGCTCCTGTGCCGGGGAGGGCGGGACGGGGCGCCATCGGGGAGCGTGTCCACGGCCTGCCCATCCCTCGGCGGAGCAGGAGGGGTCTGTGCAGCCTGCGGTTCCTGCCGGCCCTTCCCGGGGGGTGTGTGTGGCTCTTGTCACGGCGCTTCGCTCCCTCAGCTGTTCTGTGACTCCCGTATCAGAGCTGCGGGCCTGGGTCGGCTCTCGCCGCCTGCTTTCCTGACGGTTCCTCGGCGGCTTTTCCCGGCGGACAGAGCCCAGCCCCGGCCCCGGCCCCGGCCCCTCCCCCTCCTCGGGTGTCGGTCCCTCGCGCGGTGCCCGGGCCTGGCCAGCGCGGCCGGCCACAGGCCTCCGTGCTGTCGTGTTCTCAGTGCAGCTTTAGCTGCAGCATTCATCCAGAGGCTACACCTTGGCTTGTCCTGTGTACGGGCGTGTCCCTTTCTTTCTCGTGTTAAAGAATTAGCCACCTATTTTTGTTTCCCTAAATGTTTTTATTAGAAATGGATGGTGGCTTTTGATGAATGTCTTTTAATCATCTCCCGAGATGCTCATTTTTCCTCCAGCAGCGTGTTACCGTGGTGGCGATATTAATGGAGCTCCTCGGCCCGAGAGCCTCAGCCCCCGCCCCCTGTGGCCGCCACGGCAGCCCCGAGGCCCGGCCTCACCTCAAACACGCCGGGCCGGCCGCCGCCTGGCTGCGCGGCGATGGCCGGCGGCCCGTCCGGGCGGCCCTGCTGCTCGCGCCTGGTCCCCGGTTCCCCGTTATGTTCGGGAGCTTCCATCGCCCCCAGACTGAGCTTGTAGACGGTTACCTAGACGGGAAAAGGGAGCAGGAAGGCGAGCTGAAGGTGGGAGGCCCTTCCCAGCAGGACCACAGCTTCTCCTCCTCCTCTTCCTCCTCCTCCTCCTCCTCCACCCAAACCAGCCGGACAGCAGGACCGTTCCGGTGTCTTCCGCAGAGAACCTCGGGGAGGAGACAGACAGACAGACATCTGGGCCATGGGCGGCAAACGCAGCTTAGGCGCCACGCAGGGAAACTCGGAAGTGCTGGGGCCGTGACGGGGAGCCTGGCGGTCCTGGATGGAGGGGTACCTGTTTGGCAGGGGTGAGGGGGGCGGGGCTCGGCCCCAGGGTGGGGAAGTGGGAGTCACAGACCCCCCTGCACACCCCGGTTTGGAGTGGGACGGGGGGAGGCTGCTGAGGAGGGAGCAGGCGGTGACCCAGCGCACGGCAGGGCACGGAGCCCCGGCGGCTCTCCGAGCCCCTCTCAGGCGGGCGGCTCTGGGCCCAGCCACGGTGCCGCTCCCGCAGGTGGGCCGGGGGCCTTGTCCCCTCCTCGCCCGGGGGACCCAGCGGTGAGGGGTCAGGAAGCAGGGAGGGGTCTAGGAGAGCAGCGCAGGGACCGAGGTGGCCCGAGGCCTCCGGCGTGCCCCAGCCTGGTGGCCGGGCAGGTGGCCGCCAGGTGGCCGGGCTCGGAGCCCGGTGGCTCACGTTGTGGGAAGAGCAGCAGCAGCTCCGCGGGGCGCGAGGACGGGTCCCAGCGCTCACTCTGCACCCGCCCCCCCTGCCGCCGCCCCCGTGGAGCCCCGTGGAGCGGCAGGCCCGGCCTCGGCAGGCGAGGGCAGCAGCCAGCGTGCCCCTGCTCCGGGATCCCGGGACTCCCCTGGGAGGGCAGCCTGGCTTCCCCGCAGCCCGAGGCGTCCCCTCCCCAGGCCGTGAGGTGACCCTGCGGCACCACACCCAGGCGCGAACGGGCCTCGGCAGGAACAGCCCACAGGACAGACCGGAGGGGGCCGCCGGCTCCCCCTTCCCTCCCCTTTACCGCCTCCTCCCCTGCCCACCCGCCCCGGGGCGAGAGGACACTGCCCATCGCCCGGAGGGGCCGAGCCTGGTGGTGGGCACAGCAGGTCGGGGCCTGGGCTGAGCGGCCAAGGCCGGTGCCAGGCAGGGCAGGCTTGGGAGAGGCAGGGCCGCTGCTCAGAGCCCCGCCCCCGCCCCCGCCCCCTCCCTCTGACTGTGCAGGGACCCTCCGTGTCCGATCCCTGGGCCAGCCCTGAACCAGACCCTCCCCGTGGCCGGAGTCTGGCCCCTCACCTCCCTCCATCTGTGTCCCCCACCGGCCTTCCCGGCCCCTCACTCCCCGCAGCGCCCTCCGTGGGCCGTGACCCCGTGCAGTGTGGCGCTCCCCGCAGCCCACACCTCTGAAAACTCAGCTGGAGACACCCCGACGCGCCCCTTCCTGCAGGGAGCTCTGGCGGCTGGACCAGGGGGTGAAGGGGGAGGGACCTGCCTTTCTCTGGGAGTCTTTCCAGCCGAACGCTGACGCCGGCCCCACAGGCCAGGCCCCATCCGCCCTGGGCTGGCCGAGCCTGGTTCTGAGGCCAGGAGGGCGGCCTCCACGGGAGCTAGCTGTCTCAGTGAGGTCGCCGCCCCTGAGTGCACCGTGGGGTGGGGCGGTGCCATGTTTGGCCTGTAAGGCCGGGAGGGAAGCCGGGCTCCGGGTGCCTGGACGCTGTGGCCTGCGTCCCCCGCGGCTGGGATGCCGCTGGGAAGGTGGGAGCCACGCGCCGTGGCTCAGGGTCTGAGGCTCCGGTGCAGGGTCCCGGCCCCGGGAAGGCCCGGCGGGGCCCTGACAGTGATGTCTCATTCCCAGAGAGGACGCCCAGGCCGGTGCTGCTGCTGCGGTGGCGGCCTGTGCCCACCAGAGGGCGCAAAGGCCTGGCGCCGCTCCGCTGAGCCGGCTCTGCAAACCCAAATTCTTTTTAATTGAAAAATTTTTTAATTCAAAAAGGATTTGCTGTTTGTAGGCAAGTGCAGGTTTCCCTTCCGCGGGAGACTTACGTCCTGAGCAAACAGATCTGGGCCCAAATCCTCCTTCAAAGGCGCTCGCTGTTTGCCTGGGGGAGAGGGGCCTTCCAGAGGCGGCTAGTCTCTTGGGCAAACACTCTGGGGCCGCCATCCGCCCGGGACAGCGTCGTGGGAAGGGTTATCCCGGCCTAAGGGGGATTATGTCCGGGGACATATGTTGAAATTTCATTTGGGGAGTTAGAGAAAACAAGAGGAGGGGGTCCCCATGTGACCTAAAAGGGAAAATCCCCAGGGCAGAGGCGCCGGATCCGGCCCCCGGGGAGGAGAGGGCTGTGTGCGCTCTGGTCCGCCCACCCCGCCCCGCCCCTGCCCAGACCTGAGAGGAGGGGGAGTTAGCAGTTTCATCCCCTCGAAGGCCCATCTGTGCCTCCTGCCCACAGGGACTGGCCCAGGACCCCCGGAGCCCCGGCGGGGAGTGTCCTGGTCCCGCTCGGACCCCGTCTTCTCTGCGGCCGTCCTGCTGACACCCAGGCAGCCGCGGGCTCAGGCCTCTGGCTGTGGGCACCGGAGCTCCTGCCTCCGCCTCCACCTCCCTCATGTGCTGACCAGCCCCGGCCGCCCTGGGTCCCCACCGCCCAGAGCCTCCAGGAGGGGTGACGCCGAGGGCCTGGGGACCGGCCCCGCTCCCTCGTGTGAGAGGCGCCTCGCCCTGCTGCCGCCCAGGCAGGCGTCCCCCTGCCGGTCTCAGAGCAGCCGAGGGGACGCCCCGGCCTCCTGCACCCCCAGTCTCTGGGTCCTCACCCCAAGGCCGGCCCGGCCTCTTCTCTCCCCACCCGTGTGCTTTTCTTGCACATCTCCACACCCGGCACTCAGCTGCCTGACCCCAGTGCCTCCTCTCCACCCCTTCACCCCCGCGCCTCGTCCCCCAGAGGGCTCCCTGGTGCTCCTCGGCCACTGGCGCAGAGCTCTCCTGGCCTCTCCCCTCTCCCCTGTGCGCTCACTGGGCCAGTGGCCCGGCGTGCCCGCCTTCCGCCCGCTCCTGGGCTCTGCTGGCCCCAGTGCCAGCGCCCAGCGCCCAGCGGACTCGCTCAGGCAGCCCAGGAGGGAACACTTACTGCTGCGGTGCACCTGAGCAGCCACCAGGTGGCGGTGTTGTCCCAGGCTTCGCCCGGAGGCCGCTGCCTCCCTCTGCAGGGGTCTGCCAGCCGCCTGGGAGCCGGGCCGGAGGTCCTGGCCTGAGCGCTGGTCCCTGGAGAGAAGGGTGACCCGCTGGCACCCAGCAGACCTGGAGGCCGGGGGGGGGGGGAGGTCAGAGGTGCACACCTCACCCCACCCTCACAGCAGCCCTGGGGGTGCAGCTGTGGCTCCCCTCTTTATTGAGGTGTGATTGGCGGACAGTGTGTTCATTTCAGAGGTTTGAGGTTTGCATGTATCTCAGAATGATCAGGCTCCTTCGCATCCGTCACCATAGTTACAGAATCTCTTACGTTGAGAACTTAGAAGATTTACTCTTAGCACCTTTCAAATACACAGACAGTATTAGCCATAGTCACACGCTGCCCTCCGTCCCCGAGGCTTTATAGCCAGAGGTTTGCACCTTTAGGCCCTCCCCCTCTCCCCCTCCCCCCCCCCCCCCCCCCCCCCCGCAGAGCAGCCTGCACAGGGTCAGCTGGCGCAGGTTTGCCGCTGCGTCATGGCTGAGGCTCGCCGTGCTGGGGTCCCCCTCGGCGCGGGGCAGGGAAGGGGGAAGCACAGCCCTCAGAGACGAGCAGGCGCTGCGGCCCACAGGCCCACGCTCGCACCCAGGTCCGTGCGCGCCCAGGGCCGGCGAGGCCCGCACCTGACGCTGTCCGTCCGTCTGTCCGTCCTCCCTCCGCAGTACGAGTACAGCTTCCGCACGGAGCAGAGCGCCGCCGCCCGGCTGCCGCCCAGCCCCACGCGCTGCCAGCAGACCCCCCCGTCCTGAGGTCCTGAGCCCGGTGTCCGCCTCGCCGCCCGCCCCCCATGTCCCGGCCCGGGGGCGACCGGCAGCTGAGCTCCGCCCGGTCATCAGCCTGCCGACATGACCCCCGCCCGGACACCGTCACCTGACTAACCTGTGTGTGCCGCCTGCCGCTCCGGCCTGTCCTTAACGAGCCCTCAGCGGGCACAGTGACCCCTTCCCGCCGGGCGGCTCTGCACAGGCTCCACGGCTCGGCCCGCCCCCGGCGGCAGGCGCCCCCGCGTCTCACGGCCCCGAGGAGGAGGGGCCGGGGACTCCGAGCGGGACTCTCACTGGATCCACCAGGACGCCTGAGGTCGGGGCCGTGTGCCCGGTGCTCCCCCCAAGGGCTCGTCCTGCGGTGCCCATGTGCCATCACGGTGCCAACTGCCTCCGCCCGGTGCCGGCCCCGGACCACAGCCCCCGGCCCCCAGGGGCCCCCTCGGCCCTCCGCATCCTGCCGCCCCGCCCACAGGGCCATCGTCAACATCCGTCCGACCCTGGTCTGACTGCCCCCGACGCCGGTGGGCACAGCGCTGCCGTGAGTTCACCGCGGCGCCCGTCTGCCTGGGGACGGTGCTGCTGGTCTCCCCCAGGGCCTGCCCATCTTGGGGGTCACAGGTGGCTGGACTTTGGACAGAGGTTCGGGGTGCGTCTGGGCCGGGCAGGCAGCACGGGAGCCACCCAGGGACAGCCCCCTCCCCGCGGGCCCCGGGGGGCACAGGAGCCAGCCCCCAGGCAGGACGCGGGCAGGGCGGAGAGTACCTCACCCGCCTGCCCCTGACCACCCCCTCGGCCTTCACTGTCACGCCACCGCTCTCCGGGCACGGTGGGGGCGCCTCGCCGCCCCCAAACTGCGGGCACACCCGGTGAGACGCCCGTGGGGGGAGCTGGGACGGCGCTCCGGCTGGGGAGCTGGCTGAGCTGCTGGGGAGTGAGGGAGCCCGTGGCCCGGAAAGCGTGTCTGCTGCTGCCGCTCTGTGGACGGGCGGCCGTTCACACCAGGTGACTGTGTGACTGGACGCCGACAGCGGGGCGTGCGGCGGCAGAGCCCCCAGTCCTGTCGCTCCCGTGGCCCGTGCGCTCTGGCCTGTGTGGGGGGCGGGCTCCTGGGGGCGCCCGCAGCCCCGCCCCTGCCTGAGGCCTCGGCAGCTGCAGGGGCCCCGGTGAGGGCGTTAGGAGGTTGTGTGGTGGCTTCCAGGCTGCTCCTAACCCTGTGAGAGGGGTGAGGGGGAGCAAGTGGGGTGACCGGCTTCCTGGAGGGCACTCCTCCTTACAATCCGCTGCCCGGGGGGGGGGGGGTACTCTGGAAGGGGAAGGCCGCCGCCCGCCCTTGGCCCCAGCGCCCCCCCCCCCGTCCCTCTGCGAAGACTGAGCGAGCACAGCGCCCACCGTCTCTGCCCTCTGACACCGGCCTCTCTGCGGCTTGGACGTGGCCGTGGCCGGCAGAAGCACCTGCTGCAGGTCGTCCTGTGAATTTTCGAGGCTCCCACCCACCAAACCCTCCTCAGCCCGATCCTCCTCCACCGGGTGAGGGAGAAAGGGGTCAGGCCCCGGCTCCGTGGGCGGCTGCCCCCGCGGGCGGGCGGGGAAGGACACGTGGGCCGGACGCTCGCCAGGCCCACCCCCTGGCCGGCCTCGCCGGCACAAGCACATTTCCCCGACGCCCCTGGAAGCAGACACACCCGGCGCGGACGCTGTTTGCCGTCCGACGGAGCGGCCGGGACTGGCCACGGCACAGGCTGGTGAGTGGCAGAGACACGGTGCCAGCCCCCCCTCCATAAGCACACGCCTCGGGCAGGGCCAGCGGGGGACGCCACCTCGCTGCCCATCATATGCCAATCACAGCCCCGGGGAGACGCGGGCCCGAGAGCGAGGGCAGGCGGCCGGACAGCGCGCCCAGCAGGTCCGACTGCCCGGCCCGCCGTGCCCTCGGCTGGAGGAGGGGCTCCCAGCCCCGGCCGCCCGGTGCCCACCGCCCGCGGCCCCGGCCGCCGCTGTCCCCCCGAGCGTGGCCACGGCCAGCGCTCGCTCGTAGGAACGTATTTATTCGAGGCGACTCCGGTTGACAAAGGGAAGTTTCACTGTGTGATCGTCTGTCTCCTTAACGTAATTTGTTAAATAAATGTTCGTTTTAACCTTTTCCCGGCTCCTGCTGTCTCTGAAGCTCCTGAGAGCGCGCCCGGCCTCTGGCTGGCCCCGACCCGTAAGGGGCAGTCGCCACCCCGGCCCGCGCCTTCTGGAAAGAGCCGGCGGCCGCTGCCGGTTCCGCTCAGAGGGGCTGGTCCCAGGCTGGAGCCGCGGGGCACCGGCCGCGGGAACGCTCCGAGCAGGAGGGCCGCGCCGGAGAGCAGGGACCGCGGGGCCACGGGGAGGAATCGGCCTCCACCGCGCCTGCCCCGGGGCCGTCTGCGGAGGGCCCGCCCGGACACCCAGCTGCGGGATGTCAGTCCCATCCCCGCCGCTCACCTGCACGTGCACCGCCGCTCCCCGCGCCAGGGGGCCGCAGGGCCGGGCCGGCTCCCGGTGAGGAGCGGCAGGTCCGGTTTCACCATCAAAGCGCCTGCCTTTACCGGCGACCCTGGCATGCTGGGGCTCGACAGCACCGCCTGGGCCTGCACTGCCTCCGCCCGGGGAGACCCCAGGGTCCCCACAGGTGTCGGCGCCTCCAGCCCAGGCCCGCCTTCAGCATCTCTCCAGTCTCTTCCCACAGCAGGAGAGGCAACCCTCCTCCTGGCCAGGGTCTGTGATGCCGGCACAGCACAGCCGAGTCTGCCCAGGGCCAGTGTCTGCACAGGCCTCAGGGGAAGGCGGGTGAGGGTGCTCAGAGCCCCGGGGGCGCCTCGCACTGGCCTCGGCAGCAACAAAAAAACAAACCCACACACAGCAGCCAAGGCCAGACCCAGAGGACACTCCGAGCCCAACGCAGGACCTGGCCAAGCCTCAGAGGCCAGAGCCAGGAGCACCCGTCTCCTGTCCTGCCCTCGCCACCCCGTCTGCCTCTCCCTCTCCTTCTCTCGCACTCTGCCTCTCCCTCTCGTGTGCTCTGTACACCAGCATTCTTGGCACACACACAAGTGGAGGTACATACAGTCACCCAAGTTTACACATGCTCATTCAGAAGACCCAGAGGCAAGAGTCCCAGGTCAGACTCTGATTGGCCAGCCGGGTCAGGTGACCACCCCTTTCTACTCCTGGTAGCTCTGTCTGGCCCAGGTGGGAGGGGAACTGTGGGATCACAGAGTACCTGGAGCCAGTTCAGGTTTGGGTCCTAAGGAGGCATCTGCCTCAGAGGGAGGCAGGACTGTGGGCAGAGGGAGGAGAGACCTTCCCAGGAAGACGGAAACGCACCCCCCAGGACAGCCAGGTGGCTGCTGGGAACTGTGAGGTGGGTGGCGCATCATTCATCCTTCCGTCCATCATCTAGCCATCGAGTTACGCGTGAGCACCTCCGAATGCAGGCCTGAGCCGGGCGCTGGGATTCAGCAGCGGCATCGTCCACAAAGCTGATGGTCTAGCCCCGTGGTCAGCAAACTGCGGCTCGTGAGCCACATGCGGCTCTTTGGCCCCTTGAGTTTTTAGCAAAGGCCAGCTGAGGAGTACCCTAATTAAGTTAATAACAGTGTACCTACCTATATAGTTTTAAGTTTTAAAAATTTGGCTCTCAAGAGAAATTTCAATCGTCGTACTGTTGACATTTGGCTCTGTTGACCAATGAGTTTGCCGACCACTGGTCTAGCCCATCTCACTGCACGCAGTGTGTACACACCCTAGCCATCTCTCTCCTCCTTCTCCCCCTGCTCTGCCTATTTTTTTCCAGACAAACTGGCTCATCCCTAAAACAGGACATCCCTGAGCCCCACCCTTGCCTTTCTCTCCCCTCCTGCATCCCCCAGCACCGGAAGCAGCCCATGTCTTTATGCTTCGCTCCGTCCCTGGCCCATCTCCCCGAGCTCCGGCCACGCAGTTCCAGCAGCCACCTGGAGGCCCCACCCTGACCTCGGCGTATCCCCAGCTGAACACCCCAGCTTCCTCCTAACCCCACCCGGCTCCCCTTCCGACACCTCCACCTCCGGAACAGCCGCCACCTCCCCAGAGTCACCCGCGCCACCCCTGGAGCCCTCTGGGGTCACCCCATCGCCAGCCCATCTACATTTGTTTCCAGACTCGGCCACTATTTCTTCCTGCTGCTCCTTTTTCAGTCTGGCCCTCCACTCTCCTCACCTGGATGACAGCCATTCCTCCGCCTCCAGGGCCTTCCCCTGCCGCCATTTCCCACACCGACAAGATCCAGCTAACGAGACGTCCCGTGCTTTACCCGTCACCTCACAATGAAGTCCAAATCCCTCCGGTGTCTGCACACCACCGTCCTGCGCCTGCCCTCCACCTCCCATGCCAACCTCAGCTCCCACTCAGCTCCCTGCTCCATTTCTGGTTCCCTAAACTCTGTGCTGCTTTGCCTCTGCATATGCTATTCCCTCCGCCTGGAATGCATTGTCCTGATCTCTGCCTGGTAAACTCCTATTTGTCCTTCAAAACCCTACACTTCCTCCATGATGTCCTTCCTGGCCCCTTGGAAGTAATGGACACCCCTCCCCATGCTGCTCCATCCATCACACGTTAGAGCCGTGACTCCATTGGTGGCATTGGAGCCATTTGGTCCTCTCGTTAGAGTATTTGCTCCTGGAGGAAGGGGGGTGTGTCTCGCTTGTTATACTGCCCTCCCCACCACAGAGGTACTCAATCTGAGCACCAGCGGTGGCCTAGAAAAGCAGCAGGCGCAAGCAAACACTTTGAATAAATTCCCTGAAGCCGGTGGGGAGACCGGACTCAACTGCTGAGAAGAACGGACCCCAGTGGCACTTGCCGTGACCAATGACCAGCCTCCCTGGTCGCCAGAGATGAGAGTGAGCCCTGGGCCCTCATCCAGCTTGTCTCTGAAGCCACGGTGCCCAACCTGCCCCATGACGGTGGGGCGGGGGCAG